ATTTGTGAGTGGGTGCAAAACCTTTTTCCATACCTAGGCGCAAATTTGTTAACATGTAAAATTGCCTTGATCGTAGTATGCTAAGTAACAAGGGTTTGGAATTAGATTCTGAACTTGAGTCTAACTAGGTTTGACAGCTTGGCCATGCATATCATCTCAAACTTTCGCAAAAATTCTAAAAATGGCTTGCGACGCAGGCGGTGCACTTCTAGAAAATAATGTTGTGGTTTGGTCTCAGTTGCACCAGTGGTGGATGGTGCAGCAACGACGGATCACTCCGCACGACGTCGAGTGCTGGATTTTAGAAAGACGACCGACGAGATCATGGTGGCCCACGACGGGAGTATCGGGGCGGCGGTGGCTACAGACGTGGTGGACCGGACAGAAATGGCGATAGAGATCGTGGAGGAAGAAGAAGGGACGATAGGAGGGATAGGTATGAATTATTCTGCAATGTCTAATGAGCATCATTATGAGTTATCTGAAGAGATGATCGCTCCACTTGGGATGTAAGACCTAGTGCTGAAGAAGTTGCTAAGCAGAAGAAGCTTCTTTGGGGATCAAAGCCGGCACCAGCAGCCAGTGGAGAGGTGAGCTTCGAATCTGCCTAGTCTTTAGTATTAACGCCTTATCTGAACTCTTTTCAGGGCAGCAGTGCAGGTGCTGAAGCGCAGCCTGATAAAGTAGTAGACAAAAATGCAGGTCTATGGTCCAGCGCTATCACGGCTAGCGGCGTTGCTGGTGAACAGGCGAACAAGTTCTTAAAGCTCATGGGCATTAAAAATGCTCCGGCTGTAGATCCGAGTTCGGTGAGGTCATCTGAAGTTGGTTTCTATTACAATTTTACCTTTTTTCTTCTTTATCCGTTGTCGTTCCCTATATAAAGCTTTCCGAGACTGGCTGTAACCGAACCTTTTTTGACAAGGGTGATGGGAGGAAGACTTTCATGCATGAATTGATTTTTTATTTGCAATATAACTTTTTTTCTTTTTTCAGACCGATAGCAAGCTGCTCCAAGAAGAAAGTGAGAAGCAGAAGAAAATGATGCGTGATCTAGATAGACAGTATGAAATAGCTCGTGAGACTACACATATGGGGCGAGGTTTAGGATTAGGATTTCATCAGCAATGAATGTTGACAAGCTGTAAATTTAGTTTTTCTTTTCTTTGGTTTGTTAAGCGAACAAGCGAACCAGTGCGAGTTAGATTCTCTAACCTATTAGAAATGTTGGAATGGTTGTCAGCTTCTTTGGTTTGAAGACCAATAAGCGGTGCTTCAAGATTTTGGCGTAATTGGTTAAGCGAACTTTAATCTGTCACACTCGTTTGCTTGACATGCCTTCAGTGAAAAGTCTTCAACTCTCTAGAAGTTTTCGCTAAATTACCTGCAACATTTTAAAGGACAGGAGTTGCTTAGAAACTGATGAGTTTTTTCGTTTTGCAACTGCAACCATTTTCCTTTTCTTGGTTATCTTGTTTTCATTAACTGCACCTGGAGAAGAAGACGGACAGCTAGTTGAAAATGATGTGCAAAGGTGATTCTGCTTATCACTGGGCTTTTATGATAAAAATGACCCTCTTTTTATGTTAGTGAGGAACAAATGATGGGATTATATACTTTTCCCATATGAGAATGACAGAGCACATCTTTTGTGAGATCAGCTTAGATGTGCAGGCAGTTGCATGAAATTATGGTCCTGCACAGGTTACGCGACACTAAGACCAAAATACTTGGTGTGGTCTAAGCCTTAATTGGACAAGATTAGCGCATTACCGTTCCTGAGAGTAAAACTTTGCTCCTTTGCTCATGGATTCTGCTTTTTCCCGTTAAATGTGTTGGAGTTCTAAGCGCTCAGTTTCTATGCATTTCCAAAATGTGTGATGTTTCGACTTTCTGATAGGGCATGGCCTACTTTCAGTTTTTCTGTTTTCAATTAGCAATACCGTCTTATTCCAGGAAATATACAATAAACGTATATATGTAGTATATTAGTTGTATGTTTTGTTATTGTTTCTGCAACTTATTACATCTTTATTATATAAATGTGTTAAAAAATTGATCAGTAGCAGCAAAGAATAACCCGAAAAATATGGGCAATATCAGAAGACTAGGATACAAACTGTACATCCAGGCGTATAAACTATCTAGCACCTTAACAAAGTCATATCGCGAAAGAAGACACTAATGAATAAGCTTTTCAGCGGTAGAACCGCCAATACTCAACGTCATTAAGAGTTCGATTTCTGAGATATTGTTACGAAGAT